GATAACAGAGAGGGAGACACAGCAACAGGGTTTAAGTCAAGGTGGGGAGGATGGTGCATAAAAATAATGAAATGATTACTTTGAAGTAAAGGTGTCAAAGAGTGAAGAAAATGATAATCTAAGATGTCTATCTTTTTGATCATTGTGCATCAACCCTGGAATTACCTGTCCGACTCTTTTTGTGTGCACATAAAACCCCTTATGATGGCTGGTTTCTCTGATCTGTTGCTTATCTCTGATCTCAAAACAAACACATCATCATTATTGTTTTATGCACTCGCATTTCATTATTTCACTTCCTGCCACATATTCAGTGATTTAAAGACTGAGTTCTGCAACCACTGCCTGCATTCTCTACAGTCATTTCAGCTCCTTATTGTTTTTCTCTCCATCTCTTCCAGTCCCTCCCTCCTTTTCTCATTATTGCCTCCATAAATGGGGTCAGTAAAAGAAACAAACAAAAAAAAACATGAAATCCAACTACTTATCTGACCCCTTAATTGAACACTCATCCACCATCACTGTTTTGTCTGTATGCAGAAATGGAAGTGCTTAAATTTTCATTGAATTTCCCAGTATTTCCCTCCCCCGTGAGGTAATTAATTAAATGACATTTGTTGTGTATTAATGGACACTTATGCCTGAGTACTCACAGCCTCAACCCCCCCCCCCCCCCCACACACACACACCCCCCCCCACCCCCCAACACACACACACACACACACACACACACACACACACGACAACTTGGTTGGGAGTGCAATCGTTTTATACTCAAACACCCAGAATCACCTACACGTTCACACGTTATTCAGCCGTCTTTGTTGTTTTAAGGGGAGCCTAATTGAAAAACTAGGGCTGTTGAGGGGGCAGTGGTAACTGAGATTCATGACGCGTTGCGGACATGAGGTCGTACATCATACTTTGTGAGGTGGGCGACAGAAGCTGCCATTATTGGATCACCACTGCTTCATTAAGTCGCCACATGACACAGTCTGCTACTAACGCCTGTGGACAGGAAGATGGAGGGAGGGGATGACAGGAAGGCAAGATATGATAAGAAAAAGGAAGGACAAAAGCTGTGAGGGAAAGAGAAGTGGGGGAAGAAATGGAGGGAAAGAGACAAAGCAAAGGAAGCTGATGACAGAGTGAGGGAGGGGAGAAAACCAAAATAGTTTTACAAGGAGGAAAGAGATAGATGAGTGAAAAAATAAAAAATAAAAATAAACACAATGGAACGAATCCACAGTCATCCACAATTTTCTATAATTCAAGTTAATTTAATGATTTTTTTTCAGGCAGATAATCTGATGTAGAAATTGGAGAGTATGGAAACAATGCATTAGGGAAATGGCCTGCAGCTTCCTATTAATGCTGCCTTCATGGTCCACGTTTCCACAACAGCTCAATCAGTGTGCTGGCAATTTCTCCATCTCTCAGCATCCAAATTTCAGAAGTTCATTTCCATCCAACCATCTGTCTATTTCATTTTCCCTGATAACAGCTGCTATTATTTCATTTGATTATTGTGGTATGATCACAAGAATAATAAACCTTCAGGAAAAATAATCTCAGACTGTTCAAATATATATTCAAAGATTTCCTTTATACATAGCTCCAATGATGGATTAACAAATATGTTCATATTATATAGCCTATGTCTGTGTGATACTGCAGTTGCCTACATAGTTCTTTCACTATTGAATTGTAACCCTCAATTGACGAGATGGTGCTATCTGGTGGCTATATTGTGCATCACATCTTTGAACAAGCAGCATGGTTTTTATTTTGCTGTAGAGGACACATTCGTCTCAACTGGCATCCTTCAGTCAGTTCACTCACACGTAGTGCAATGTATGCACAACACTGGCGTAGTGCGCGAATTTCAACAGGGTAGTGTTGTAGTGTTACAAATCAAACACCGCCTTTGTGCACTCACCGGAAATGTAAATTGCATCAGGTGACCGCGATTGTCGCCCACCTGCCGGCTTCTTTGGTCACTTAACTTCAGAATAAACGTTTTACTTTCTTGTGTGTGCCCCCAGTGTCGTGCCACAAAAAAAATGAGGCTGCCATCGTTGCCAGTGGCGTGTCTTCCTACTTCGGTGGTCGTACAAGTTTGAAAATACATTGGTGGCCCCGCCCCTTCGCAAACAAGCACAGGTGTCTTCAATTATTTTTGGCTAATTAGGCGTTTTGAGGACTGTGTGGACTTGCGCAGACAGCACTTGAACCCTTGAGGTCTAATCAGCCACATTAACTGAAAACACCTGTGTCAGTGAAGGGGGGAGGGGGGGGGCAGTCTTGTAGTTTATTTCATTTCATTTTACATCCTAAAATGCTGACATGGACCTTGTCTCCTCCACAATGTGCTCTAGGTGAATGAAGTAGGCTACCTCAACATTTCAAGATGTCCCTCAGCCCACTGACTGACTGCTTCTTGAAAAGCTGCGTCTAAATTAAGTCAGATTTCAGCAACATATCAGCATATGTCTCTATCTCTATTAACATTTTTGCTCCTAATTAGACGCTTCAGTGGGTAGGTCACATTGATGCTTCATGTGTAGAACACCAGAACTGATGTGGAGTCAACGGGTGCACTGGTAGAGACTAAACATATATCTGTAGCGTCCTAGACTAATGTTTTTATATGCTTGTTGTATATGAATAAGAATAATTATTAATGTTACTGCAAAAACACAGTAAATGGGCGTCATTCTGTCAGACTTAAGAATTAATTCAACCTCAAGTATAACTTTTGCTAGAAGGTATAACTAATTATAGTAATAATGTATTATAGTTATAATTTTTGCTTTGCTTGTTAGATTTACTTTTTGTTGCAATTAGTTTGTAGGGTTGACTGTAGAAATGAGCATCAGTTTGACAACTCCTGATGATAATTTCATTTATTTCATATCTCTTATTATTTCTTGTGACTTGGTTAGTCTTCATTTTGTTCTTTTCTGTATCTTTTTTGTATTCATCTTATTGCATCAGTAATGTATTTTATCAGTATCGCATAATCCAATAATATATATTAGCATAACACAAATTGTTCTGCCAATCAAATACTTTGATACGTTCATCTGTTAATAATGAAGTACAATTCTGAGTGCAGTACCTTGTAATGGAGTATTTTTACACTGTAAATGAAACAATGTGTCTCAAGGAAATTCTTCTTTACTTCAGTTCATTTGTAAATTTTTATTATGTTTTTTATTCATAACAGCAAGAATCAATATAGCAATACAGGCCACATGAAAAAATGTGTCAAGAAGCTACTTACTTACTTCTTATCCTTCAAAGTTGACACACCACAGGTTCCATTAATTACATTCATGACTTTAATTATTACATGATGTTGTAGTTAATAAAACCCCAGCAAACTCATTCATACCAGGTTCAGAGGGTACCATTTCCCACCTCTGTGTCATTTCTGGTTTCTTCCCCCACATTTCATTGTGATGAGATTATATTTTATGGCTTTAGACTGTGGCAATCAGTGGTTTTCACTACAGGCGGTCGGCATGCAAACATGACACATCCTTTCAGGGGGCCTGGAACAGTAAAACAAGCAGAAACAAACTGCAGCAGAAGACAGAATACATCATATTAGCACTACAAGCAGAGAAAACAAACAACAAACGAAAAAAAGTTCAGTTTACATTATATCATAAACGTAAGCATGCGTGCTTGTAGAAGATGAGAGATGACAAAGATGATCAGGACAAAATTTCAAACTAACAAGTTTATGACCAAACCACTAAAGAGTATTTCAATCTGAAATTATTCTTAAATTCTGCCTGATGTTGAACTACATTCCTGTTTGGTCAGTTTCATCTACTAGAAGCACAGCTTACATTAACAGAAAGAACATACTTATAACTATGGTGTCTGTGTTGCATGTATTTTGACTCTCCAAGTGGTGAAACTTTAGTGAGTATATTCTCAGGAATCTTTTTTTTTTTTTTTAAATAAACCACTATTCTATTTTTGTATTTTTATATATATTTTATTCCATTACATTGATAGAATATTGTATACTGTAAATACATCTTTCTGTGTAACATGTTTTCTTATTCAGTATTACTGTGTCATGATTTTTTTAAACGGTATATGTATTTCCTTTAACATGCATTCCTCTCTGAGTAAAGTAAAGAGACAGGACGTGTTGTGATTGGTTGGGCCTGGGAGGGCGTGCCCATGACACACAGACCTGTCAGTACAGGCAGGTTAGGGGACCAGACAAACCCAGTCAGGCCCTTACGCTGGAGGGTAGTGGACGCCTCCTCCGGAAGGTTACCTGGCAAACTACAAGCTGCTGACAAAAAAGAAGAGCAACACTTGGCCTTTTCTGAAACGGGTAGGAGAGTGAGAACTCAGTGCCCTTTTGATGCAAGCAATTTTGTTCAGCCTTTCATAAGATTTTTTTTGTTATCCTAGCAAAATTCCTTGTCATTATAGACATTATTTTTTTTATTCAAAATAAGATCTCAATATACATGATTCTCTCTTTTTTGACTATGTACAGAAGTGCAAAAAAGTCAACCTTTATCACCTTTATCGCCTCAAGATTCCCCACCCCACCCTTGTTGTTTGCAGTTGGCTGAGGAAGAGATGAGTGTGCAGACTCAGTTCCCTACTCACCACGTTCACCTGACCCCGCCAGCAACGCCCCTGAAAAAGTGATCAAATATGCAGCTTGTTTTCCAACATGGCCCAATTTCCAGGGAGAGTAAAAATATTAAAACAATAGTTACTATTTGAAATGGATACAGTAGAAAATAACATCTTTACTCTAAACATCTAAGAACTAGATTTTTATAATAGTCTTTTTTTTCTTATATGACTAGTTACAAACCTTACAATCATTAAAATATTACTCGGTTATCGGCAACGGTTGCCACAGTGACAACTCAGCCTCTCTGTTCTATTATTCATCACTGTTAGATACTCATATAAAACATCTTTGTTCAAAGAACACAAAAAGACTAGAGAAATGAACAATATGCATACAGTTCAACAATATGCATAACGTAGAAAATATTGAGTTTACAATCATAATCATACTAAAATCAACATTACATGGAATTTCAGGAAACTGTGCATGAGGAACACACAAACACACACTTTTACCTTATATTCATTATAAGAAAGATAAATATAATAAGCAAAACTAAAAATCAGAACTAATATCAAAATATCATCCAAACAAAATAAAGTAAAACACTCCTCATCTAAAGAAAAACTACAAGAAAGTTAAGAAAACACTGACAAAAAAAGTGACAATTACATAGTGCTCTGTGTGTGTGTTATAATTAATATGGCGTGGATTAGGCATCTGGATGGTTCAAAATGGCATGTTGCATTGTGCTGACCCGATGGTACATTCTAAGGCTTTGGATGAGTAATACAATCGTTTAAATTCTTGCCACTTTCCCTGTACTATCCACCAATTAAATATGCCTGAAGAACACCCAGAACACAACAAAAACAAAGAGTTCTAGAGATCTACTCTAAACACCCGATCCTTCATTGGGCTCGCCCCACTAGTCTACCCACAATATCTAGTAACAGTGACACAAAAAGACTTTGGCTGACTATCTGAAAACAGTTCTCAGGTAGACGTATTTAACAAATATTCTTAAATATGTCAGACTATATATACATTACACTAAATCTACTTTTACAACCTGCCTTAAAATATGTGTAACCATACAAATGAAAAACAAATCAGGTCATACAAATCACATATCCATCACCAGTTGCACTATAGATTTTGACTTCTGTATCACAGCAGTTTGGATACCAACTGACCGCCCTGTTGTTTCAAAGCTATTCATCATTACATCTTCATCATTGGGAGAGTCTTTGGTCTCTCACGCACAAACAACTCATCTGACTTTTAGAGTCAATAGACTTAATGAACATGGAGAGATCTGTCTGCACAGATCCAGTCATTTCCTGTCTAAACAACTGACATCAACAATAAGGTCTAAGAAAAAAAAAAATTAAAAATCTATTCATTCAGTAGAAGATTTGAGTAAAGCAGACAATCCGGGGAAGGTAATCTAATCAGCAGTGATGCTAGTTGGAATCACAGGTAATGACAGGTCACGACATTGGACACTACATGCTGTCCAAGAGAGAAAATAGAGACGTATTAAAGGGAAGTGTTGAGTTTAATACTTTGTAACACTGCTTGAATACCATTCATGTATTTTGAGATGTATGGCACTTTACAGGGATGCCTGCAAGGTTAAAGACATGTGCTTAAGAGATAGAAAGGTAGGCTACAAAGGTTTGAAAGACACCTCACAGACATTCAGTTGCTATTTTGCCTCTGAGTGCACTCATGTAATTTCCCTTATCACTGGTTTAACAAAATAAAATCGTAATGAAAATCATTGTGCATGCATATGTGATTCAGTCAGATTATTTGTTTCTTTTACCTCAACTGAAATACAAGGTGCGCCTTTGTGTAAACAAATGAACACATTTAGGTCAAAGACCAACAATCAATGAACAAACAAACAACATAAGTCATGATTCTTGGTCAATGGACGTACCAATCCAGCAGTCGATTTTTTTTTTAACGACCGCTCCACACATTAACCTCATTTTAACATTCAAAGTGTGTCCGGTGAATAAAGGTAAGTTGCCTCTACAGAGCGAAAGGCAGTCTGTAATGCAAATGATGTTCTTTTCTGTTGTTGTGTAATAGTGTGCATGAAGTACACATGAAAACAATCCTAACAAACTGTGCCTCCTATGTTAACATGCAGATTTATTCCAAACCAGTTTAGATTTGGTTCTCCGTTTTGCTCTTGATGTTACAGGCATGAAGGGTGACCGCTAATCTGGACACCGGCACACTCCAATTCCATCTGGAAAGAAGTTCACAAGACACAGCAAATTACAAGTGAATCACAAGGACAAATTGTAAAAAAGAGCTGAGTTGAGATTCTTGAGTTTCTTATTGTCTTGAAATCTGACCCTTTATTTCACATCAGGGACAAACAGCATCAACCCGCTGCCAGACAAAAACATCAATACTGATAAATTCTGCAAAAACCCAAATTACAGTCAGTGACAACAGTCTTTTATGTCCACTGACAATGTTGCTTGCTTGCTTTCTATAATATGTCCTATGCTGTGGGATGGTTAAGGTTACCATGATGGATTAGACAACTAAAACACTTGGTTACAGTTAGGGAAAGATTGTACAGTTAATAAAAAGGCAAAGAAAAGGTTAATCACAGTTCTGGAGGAAAACTCAGGACTCATTACTTCCTGTGTTTGCACTAAATGTTGCCATTAATGAACATAAATAAAAGATTGGTGCTGAAATGTTCAATATGAATGTAATTCCTTAGAATATTGGGCTGGATTTGAACAATTTATGAGTGATTTACTCCTGTATTTTCAAAGTGAAGAATCAGTGGCTATAATCAACTTCTTATGTATTTTGCACTTGCCAAGTCGCACATTGAACAGGAATCAAAACCACATCAGGGAGGAATCAAGGGAGCAAAGGAGGTCTGATTCACTACTGATGGCGCATGACCTCTAAAACTTCAGTGACCAAGTAAGATTTAGCAAACAGGAAATAAATGGATGTCCGGTGGCTTTGAGTGCTGAGTTCAACCCTCTTGCTCAAAGGAATAGTTTGATATTTTGGGATATGCACATTTGGTGGTTGTCTTGTAGTTGTTGTGAGGTAGGCAGGTAAACTACAACTTGTCATTTTTTACATTTTGGTTTTTGTATGTGTAATAAGAAAATGACAAATTTTTCTGCATTACATAAATGACTGGATGATAGAGATGTTTACAAAAAATGGTGACTGTCTAAACAAACAATATTGTCAGCTGTAAAACATGCAGTTGTTGCAACTCCTTCATGTAACAATTTCATAGCTGTTTGGGAGAAAAGTAACCATGACTGTAGGCTACTGGTCTGAATGCAGTGTGTGAGATGTTGAAAAGAGGTGAAGTACATACTGTTCTGATTGAGACTCCTACATCTGGGTCACATACTTGTGACTAGTCAGATGGTCTGCAGATATTATTGGAATCTGATTGAGAGGGGGAAAAGAGAGAAAGAAAAGGCAGAGAGCGATAAACAGAAGGAGGGAGAAGGAGGAGGGAGACAGGGACATCAGTGGAAATGAGGACAAACACCACTTCAACCTAAATTGATAATAAAGATAAGCATAGTAATTATCTAGATAATCACAGTATTTGCTGACCTGAATAGTTTGCAAAGATCAGAGATGAGCCTCATGCATTCATGCATTTTTCATTAAGAGGCAAATTGAAATCATAAGGTTAAAAATAAATAAATGAATTCAACCAACAGATGCTGAAAAGTCAGAGCTGATACCAGAAGTAAAAGAGAGTGAGAGGAGACAGGAGATGGGCAAACCTGATTGGCTGTTGCGGTTGCAAAGGGAACACTTGTGGCAGATGTGGTGGCTGCAGACACAGTGGCTGGAGTAGCACCGTGCATCATGGGTACTTGGAGGGAAAGATCACACAGGCAGTTGAACCAGAGCAGATATTTTTTTTTATGTTACACTTAATTTTTATGAGAAAGTTTTAGTGATCTTTCTAACAACAAAACTTCAAGAGTCAAGGGATAGCGACAGGAAGACACATCAGAGAAATTCCTAAGAGTACAAGGTAACTAACTAACAAATTGAAAAGCAAAATATAAATACAGATGGTAGTACTTATTTTATTGTCTATTTTGGGGCATATTCATACTTCCTCCATAAAAAACTGCAATAACACTCCAATTAAAACATAAAACAAAAATTAAACTTACAACAACCTCTACTACTTCTACCACAACTTATACTACCAATAATAAGTCCTCATGTGTACATGGCACGCATAGCCAGACAGTATAATGAGATGCTCCAGAGGTTAGAGAGCTTAGGATGGAAGGATAATGAAGCAGGGGTTGGGGGGGTGGGGGTGAACTGCAACAAGCATTAGGTGACAGACAGACCTGTGGCAGAGCAAGAAGAGGTTCATTCCATACCACAAAGATGTATTGCAGAGTATAATAAAACACATAGCTCCCAATTGAAATTACACAATTAAGTTCAAAATCATAATTTGCGTTTCATGTTTTATCAGCCATCCTATCATTTGCACTGAAAAGAGATTACATATGCCATTTTGGTTTAATGTCAAAGTCTGAATTCACAAAACGGAGAATGTGCTCACACTATGTGGTGAGTTGAATGAAACGTGAGTGACTAAAATGAGCTCAGAGATAATCAGTAAGGAAAGCTGGCACCTACCAACACTTGTTGCAGGTGTCATGCACAATATCGAGCCTGCCCATCATGCATTGCAGCAGGGAGTGGAGTGAATAGGGAGGAGAAGAAATCAAGAAAAACCATTACAAGTGTTACAAGTCAAACAATAATGGATTAAAACAGTGCTCTGATTATTTAAACCCTTTGGCCTTAATGCAATAGCTGAAAATGTAACAAAATTGATTACTGATAAATACACATATTAATCATTGCTTTATACACATCACAGTTGCTGCCAACAGACATACAGCACGGCAAAGGAAGCATGTGCATGAAAGCTCAGAGTGGGGACAGTCGTGGTAGTCTGCCTGTCCAGCCCCAGTTTACTGTTTGACTGCTCCATTAAATAGAAGGGCAAATTAAACACTACCAGTGGTCCCATTTTCCTGTCAGCCGTGTAGCAGCTGTTTGCACAGTGGTAGTTCTGAATGACCTGCTTTCAAAATCCTCAAAGTGTGTTGCAGTGACCTGACAGTCCAATAGTGTGGGACATATGAGGATCTGAGTATTCGAATCTCTCACAGACGGGAATCGATGGCAGGCTATTCTTAGGCTGTCAGATGAGAATATGGGACACAGTGTAAGATGACTACGCAGCGGCCAGAGGAGAGTGGTTCAAATAAGCTGTGTGTGTGTGTGTGTGCGTGTGTTGCACAAGCTGTATATTAAGGGCATGATTTTCACTGGGACTAGAGGGGAGACAAGTCCTCTCTCTCTGCAAAATCCCTGTTCTGTTCCCCCACTATGCAGCTTTAGTTTGATTTACTCAATAAAAGCTCTCTAAACTGTGTCATCTCACTGTCCAGCTGCCTAAATCAAGGTGAAAGAAAAGAAAGGTTGATAAAAAATGTTGATCGATCATCTGGTTCACCTTGTTATTCTGTGCTCACTATAATGAGATGCACTCAGCTTTTGGTTCTCTGGGTTTTGCCTGTCAGGATGCCCTGACTGCAGAGGCTGGATACAGCCTGACAGGAGGCTCTGGAGATACTTGTTAGGGCCGAAAAAACATAATGGGAACCCCTTCTGCAATGTTTTTGGGATAGGTTTTGAATTTCAGTTGATTATGTGAAATGGAAACACTTTCAGAAAAAGAAATAGATAATAGATAATCAATCAAAAATGAGGCAATAAAAGACAGTAGAAATGATATATAGTTAAGCCATTAATAATACTGATATTAACAGAATATGGACGACTTTTGCTATGGCAGGAACAAAGACCATTCTATCACAATGTGTGAAACTAAGCTCTTATGCTAAATAAATATGCAGAAGACAGTAGTTACAGTGTCTTAAAAAAACAACAACCCTGCACACACATGTGCAATTAAGTCCATGCAAGTGTTTCCATCATGTCACCAACAATGAAATCACACAGTCATTCAGCCATTCACAGCTTGCGCCAAAACATAATCAATGAGTTTCATGAGAAACTACGTGTGATTTGACAGCCAGTACTGATGGGATAACTGCCACAAACATGGGTTAAAGAAAGCTCAGACCTTACCTGATGGTATGAAGGCAGCCTGCTGTTGAAACTGCATGTTGGCCAGGGCCTGTTGGTACTGGAATACGCCAGCATTGAACATTGTGGTGGCACCGTTGGCTTTTTCAAGTGCAGGTCTCTTTGGTAAAGGAGGCAAGACGGGAGGGAGCCCCTGATGAGGGGACAACACCAAAATAAAGGGATGGGAAGTGAGGGAAATAAAAGGATGATAGCAGTGACATTCAGGACAGAGAGAAGAAAGAATTTCGTTAGAAGATAAAGTTGCCCTTCCAAACAGCTATTATTACAAACACTGGCAAGCAAGCAGTGGACTACACTACCTCTGTCAGAGCAAGACAGTGGCGCTAGCTGACAAACTGTGATGTCTATCTTGCTAGTGACAACAAAACACAATCCTCAACACAATGTCATCAACCTCATGATATGATTTTAAAAACTGCACACAATATAATATCTATATAAATCTTTCTGTAAACAGAACTATCATGACAGCTTTAATACAAGTTATTGTATTGATTGTTGGACCATCAACAGAAATGATGTAGTTAGGGAAAGCTGCACTGCCAACTCCATGATAATAGTACACTATAAGCCATGTTAAGACTCTCATGACACCTCTTAAACAATTACACATGCATTATGGGAAGTGACAAAATCATGCAAAGACTACCATACCTTAACAGACACTAAAATACTACATTTTCATGCCAGCAATTAATTGCTTTTTAAATTCACTTAAGGTGATGAGCTGACCATCGACAGTGAAAATTGTATAGGGTTTCCTATTCAAGTCCTTTTCCTTTTTGGCCACAGATGTTTTAAATTAATATTCAAAATGATCAATTTGTTTATGTTACACAACCAATGGCTGCAATCAGTTCATCACCCCGCAGTGTTTCCTCAGTTCAGATCATTAAGTATCTACTGTATTTTAGAACTACAAAAGCATATCCACTAAATCACAGCTACATGCCAAGCTAAAAGGTGAAAGGTCAAAGTACCAGGTCAAAAGTTGCGTCGAGGGGTCGCTTCAGTGATTTGACAGCCGATTGAGTCTTAATTAGCAGGCAGCGAGCACATGATGGCAATGGGCCAATGGGGTTCAAGCGCATTAACATAAACCAGCAAGCGGAGGTGCATCATGGGGGCAGCAGTGCAGTGTGGGTTGGTGAGAAAAAACAAACAAAAAAAACAAACAAACAAACAAATAAAAAAACAAATCATTGAAATGCAATATACAACAATAACAAGACTAGGGCATGCACATTAATGGCTGTAGGGTTACTGAAAAGAATTATGGCCCTTCACATAATTTATTGTCAGAGGAAAATTCTGTTTCACAAGCTACAACTTTGAGTGCAATGGTGTTCTAGTCCAGAAAGGAGGATTAACCAGATTTGTTACATTCAAATTTAAGGAAATTCTATATTACTGTTTCCGAACAGGCTCATCATGTAATATATGGCTACATGGCTCCTGCTCCGGATGCTGGGTATACTTACAGTCTGCTGTGACTGGACAACCTGCTGTCACCACTTTCTGAACAAAGTCAAACACTGTGCAAGTTCGAATTACAAATACCTTTTGTAAAACTGGCACAATTAATCATCCATTACCAACATAAAGATTTCCTGTTTAAATATAAAGCTGGTGTATTCGAAAGCTGCTTCAGGACGTTCTTTCAGATATCAGATAAAAACACTACTTTTTACACTGTATAATTTGTATGATTTGATATTTCCTGGTCTTTATTATACTATTTTATTCTATTTATTGTCATTTATTTGGCTTTACTGTTTCCCGTATAATTTAATTGATGTTTCATATCCTTTGTGTAAGCACTTTGTAAGTGTGCTATACAACTAATCCAAGTCTGTGGCCACACTGTAAAATTAGCTTTTCCACCACTAATTGTCATTTTAAATGCCATTGAAGCTAATTAAGACTAAAAGAATTAACATCACACAGAGAAGAGAGGTAAAAAAAGTACTGGTAATGTTCAAATATTATGACTAATTTGACTTTATGGAATAATTTAAGGGTGAAGGGCTAACTGAGATCAAGTTTATCCTCCTTTCTGGGTTGCATAATGAATCTATTATACTTGGCTCAGCAAAACCTCATTGTGTCCTTTTATAAAAAAAAAAAAAATATCACTGCATTGCAGAAACAGGATTGGAATGAACAGTAGTTAACAATTTAATGTACCTACTGACCTTGAACAGCAGCAAAATACACTGTAGAACTAATAAAGCAGCAAAACAAGGAGGAGCAGGAGGAGGGGAGCAGTAGTCTCAGTCACATACTAGCATGATCACTACAGCCTGCCGCTAATAAAGCACACATCGACTGTATCTTCATAGTGCGTTGTGTGTGTATTGAGTGCATTGTGTCAGAACTGAAGGGAGCAGGGACAGTGGAGACTGGAATGTGTGCAAGGAGCTTGAGTAACAGCACAGGGGAGAAGATGTTTCAGTCAACATCTGTGTCACAAGTGTTTGTAGTACACTGTATGTACTCAAAACCCAGATAGAATTACCCAGGTCATGTTTATGTGGCCCACATCAAAATTAGAAGAGCTTAATGATTTGTTTTATGTCATCACATAAAAATCAAGACTGGCTTGTCCTTGATTTTTAACATAACAATACTGGTTATTTGATTTAAGTGTAATTCCTCTGGCTGCACAGGGCTGAGGAGGCCATGATACTTTAGATGTTCCTTTGCTTGCGTCCTTCTTGGTGGTGTAATCTGTGGACAGATACCTACCATGGCTGCAGCAGCCGCAGCCTGGTTGACTTGGTGTTGGGCGGCTTTGATCTTGGCCTGCAGGTGAGCTGGAGGGTGAAAGTACTTGCACTTCTCCCTCGAGCAGCGGCCCTTAATGTAGTCCATACACACAGTGACTGTGTTGTCGTTGGTGTCAATCATAGTGCTATCTGCAGGATGGGCAAAGCGACAGTCGTTCTCCCCACGTGTACAGTTGCCCCGCTGGTATTCCCGACACACCTGGGGCACAAACACACATTTCACTTCTTTTATTTTGTTTACATGACATTACAAATTTGATCATAAACCTGAAATACAGACACTTGGGTACAGAAAAACACACAAACATCAGACCCACACACACACATTATGAAGTTACTGTTCACTTTACTTCACATTTGATGAAGTAATCAATCTGTGCAGTCATTTCAGAACTTGACAATCACTTTACCAGACAGAGCTAACCAATCTTAATGACAGGTTTGGCCATTACTGTTGATTGATAAGCAGAACAGACCGTAACCAGCATTTACAGACTCATCAATCACACAAACTTTATCCATTATTCAAATGAGCTCTGTTGATGTTCTTTCTTATACAAAACAGAAGGGGGCAGCACCTGCGTGAACAGTTGGGAAAGTGATTACCTCAGCCTGAATGTAGGAGCCCAATGAGGCTCCTGGGAAATATGGGGCTGGTTACCCTCAAGGGAGGCTGTAGCTGACGTAATCAGCAGCCCACACAAAATAACTCTCTCTCTAAGACACATACACACACACACAAACACAAACACAAACACACACACAAACACACACACACACACACACACACACACACACACACACACACACACACACACACACAAACACACACACACAAGGTGGGTGCACATATAATTTATGAGGCAGCATTTTTTTTTTTTTTTACAGAATTACATTTTGGCACTTAAAAAGCTCTGCAATAACTTAAGATCTCCGTTTGAGTCTGCCCTACCCTATACCCAATGAAATCTCATTTCATGGTATGCTGTATCGATCAATCAGTTATTATGAAATAAAAAAAAAAAAAATTTACCAAATGTCTGTTTACCAGTCTCACTGTCTGCATGCATAAAGGATTTGATTTGTGGTGGACCGGCTGCCAGACAAAAGGCCACCAGCGCAGTTATCTACAAACCAAACCTGCTCTGTCTCCTTTCATGACAGCTCATCATCCACAATCACTGATTTGCGTGAGCAACGGGGTAGGAGTCGTCTACAAAGATATAAATATACGAAGGCACAGCTACACACGCATGCTCACACACATTAATTCCCCACCACTGCTATGATCACCACTGTTGCTACTGGTCTTATTTAAAAAAAAAAACAAAAAAAAAACAGACTGCCTTGTTGTCAGGCAGATGTTGGAGAGGCGGGTGAGGGAGGGAGGGAGGGAGGGAGGGAGTGAGGGAGGAAACAAGGGAGAGAAAGGAGAATGTAAGAGTGGCTGATGAATAAAGAGTAAAGGACAGAGATGGGGATCAAGGAGACAGAGTGAGAGTCATTGGGCGTTGAAGTGAGTGTTGCCGGCATAGAAAAAAAATTAGTGAAGAAAGGGAAGACAGTCGGATGTTCTCTGAACCAGGTGTGTTTCTCTGAACAGCAGCTAATCATGCATTAGACAGAGCTAACCCGGTGAAAGTTCTGAGTTGGACAAACAAATAAATGGCCTGTTAATCATATTTCTGTCCCCATGGTAACTGTCCCTTTGAGCCATTTACATCACCATGGTTGCAGGTAAGCAACATATGATTTTATGCATGCTGAAATGCTGCAGTATGGCTCTATACAAGATAGAGACAGAGAGACTGCTGGAAAACATTTCTCAGGAAAACAGTCTGGAGGATTGTCTTCTAAAATAGGAATTTCTCTCGGCCTCAAGGAAACGGTCTGTAACATATCTTCTGACTGCTATGTGTGTCAGTCCACTGAATTCCAGCTATGTTTATTTTGAACTACACACTAGAAACTAAAATATGGCTGGCCCTTTTCTCTAAGATATTTTTAGCAAACCTAGTTCCTGATAAATGAGGCTAGGATATGAATTCTCCCAATAAAGACGCTTCACCAGCACACACAGGGCTGAGCTCTACAGGCAGTGTTGACCACTGGCCCCAAATATCTAGAAGGGAAAAACACTGAAAATTAACAGATTTTTGCTTCTACTGCCAATTATTACATTTGGCAAATAAATATTTCATATCTGTTTGTCTGTTTATTGGACTTTGGTGCAGAATGCTATCAATCCTTTGCCAGACAATCCCTTCAGTTGCCAGTCTGCGTCAAGACCTGCATGTTCTTCTATTAACAACAACTTCTTGCCTCCAATTTTCCAAAACTTAAATTTTCTCACCAGTCATGACTCCTCCGTGAAATTCAGGCACCACTCTGTCCTTTGTCTCTGTTGCCTTTTCTCTGCTTGCCCCAACCCCTCCCCTGATAAACATAACATGTCTACGAATTGATTTCCTATCTTTTCTCCTGTCACTGACCCTTTCCCTCACTCTGCATGTCGTCCACTTGTTAGTCGGGCCAAGAGACTTCTTCAACCTCACCTCCATTAATTACCCAGCCACCCAATGTTACATTTTAAATGTAACCTTCCTAACGTTCTCGCACGCCTCCTGCCTGCCTCCAACGATTTCCCCATTATTCTGCCGCGAGTGTTCCCCGGGTGGGGCTACATAATGGATGAGATTGACTTACTGTCCAATTAATGATTATCTGAAAACAGCTAGAGGAACAGCGCTCATCAGGTTTCATGACTGATTGCTTTCATAGAAGAATTAAAGATTTTTCAGAAAATTACACACTGGTACAGTATAACTTGAGGTTGTGTCAAACAATGTTGTCTCCTGCCTGTTGATGGGATGCAGCGACGGTATTGTTTGTAGAGGGATACTCTCATTAACGCCTCTTTCTCTTTGCTTAAGTCTGGGTAATAACTGTATTATGGTAATGGGATATAGTTACTGTAAAAGAAACTGTGTACCAGATACATAATTAAAGTCTACAAACAGAGACTGTTGAAGCAAGACTTTCCAACCCATGCCTTTAATATTCAAATAAGCACAGCCCACATTTCAAAGCCCAATCTGTTTGTATAGCTGGGAAAAAGATCCTCACCGGGTGCAGTGTTTACTAGAGTTTTGTTAATCTATCTTTTAATCTGTGACTGATATGAAAGTGACAAAATAATTATGCAAATCCTCTCATCTGTGTGATCAGTGGTGTGTGTGTGTGTGTGTGTGTGTGTGTATGTATGTCCTTATGTGGTCATATTCTTCCTATTTATCCCTTCGACTGTCAGCATAAATGTGTGTGTGTTTCTCACCTCCAGTCTGTCTGTCCTCATGAGTTTCTGTGCAGCAGCAGCAGCAGCAGCAGGTACGGGGACACTGGGGTTGCTGGTGACCAGTACAGGGGCGCTGGGCAAGATGTCAGCGGGCATCAGGCCGGGCGACACTGGGCCAAGGTAGGGGTTAAACGCAGCAGCCGCTGCTGCAGCAGCATTGGCATTGGTTGCAAGGCTGGGTGTGACTGAAAACATGGGCTGTGGGCACATGGAAAATGACAGAGTTGGTCAAAACTTTGCAAAATCATCCCAGATTTCTCACAAAGTCTATGTATGAAAATTGAATATTCAGTTATATCTGTCAATAAGTATAATGCCATCCTTTCTCGCTCTTACAGCACTTGAAGTTATATGACAGTAGACGGTGAAATAACAGATGTATGCAATTATCAAAAGCCAAGCTGAGGATAGGAAGAGTGGTGGTGGATGTGGAGAAAAAGAAGATGGCAAAAACAGACAATTAATGGGCTTACATCTGAAGCAAAACAATGTGCCTTGTTTGATGGCTGCTTGTCTTTCATTTACTCTGACACAAAGAGGAAGCCTAGGCTTTGTATCTGGTGTCACATCCCCCCTACATGGATCAGATGGAATCACGCTTCATACACCAGAGATCATAAGGACAGGAGTAATAAGGATGAGGGACGTCAAGCTGTGTGTGCATGTGAGGGGGGGAGAGAGGCTATACTATACTATACTATACTATACTATACTATACAACAATGTACGTGTTGTGCTGCAGTTTGAAAGGGAAAGGCATTCTCCAAGAGGGAGCATAAAGAGTATGCTAGCTGACATAGCACACTGCAAATTTCCCCTGCACGTTCCTGACCTCAGCCCCAGTCTGAGGATTGTCTCTTGAGCCCCTGCCAACACGACACAGTGAGTAATAGAACAGCAGCAGCCAGAGCTGGACATCTACATTCCTCTCAAAACCTCATCGCTGCTCTGGGATGACTCAGAGAAGTCAGGAATAATGGCGTGGACTTTCTAATTCTTCTACTGCTGCTCTCTGGGATGTTTGAAGAATTATGTCCTATCACAAGATGCTCCAGAAAAGTAGATTTGCCTCTCTCAAGGTGCTCAGACATCAGTTTGAGACATTCATAGCTCAAGGTTGGGATAAGATTAGTATGATATCATTGAAAAGACTCACAGTCATGAGGATTTAACTATGCAGTGATGTCATCCTGCAAGAAGTTTGTGACCTTGTTAAGAGCCTTTCTGTAACGTCTCCTCACTTACCATTGAACTGTTTCCAATAATGATAAGACCATACAGATTCTTGATATAAATAACAATCACAACAGATTCAAAACGATTATATGAAATTGAGCATATTTACACTGTAGGAACAGAAAAAAAAATTCTCACTGCATGCCTCCTGTCAGCAATTTGTATCACAGCAGTGATATTATGTGTGTGTACTGTGGTGCTTGCTTGACAATCTTCTATTTACAAAGATTTCCCTTTTTACTTACTCTGCATCCAAACTAGAAAAGTATATTGAAAGGCATTACAAATACAACTCAATTAAAAGTTAGATTCTAAGATTACAGATCAAAGAAAACTTTCCATATCAAAATTTTATGTAACAACCAAATACTAAGACGTTTTCATCAGTGCATTGAGGGAGAACCACAAAAGTTGCTTTCAAAGAACTAAATAGAGAGCTCAAAAGCAACGTGATGACTTAGAGCAGTGTTTCAGTGTCATGCTAGGTCATGAAATCGTGTCTTTTTTTAAATCTGATGTCAAATGATCCTGGGAAATTTGAAAACATTATGCAATCAATGTTTAAAATGTTAAACTGGCACAGTCTTTAACGTTGTATAATAACCCTGTTTTGCTGATCATTTCTATAGTAACAGACTTGTTCAACAATAATAATTGTTCAATAACATTAGTTAACATAAGACACTGGTCATACTAGTGCAGTTTTTGGTACTTCTGTCTTGGCTTCGTTTTTCAGACTTGGAAGTTGCAGCTCCATTAACACTAATAAAAGACTTAAAAAAGACAGTTTTTGAGTTTGTGATTTTAAAGATGCTACTGATTCTAAATGTTCACCACATCTCTACTGTTTAATCATCAAATTTATCCACTGAGGAAGAAGAAACCTGAATTCATATATATATATATATATATATATATATATCAGCTACACTGAGCACACTCTAGGCTTTGTTTGTTATGATGCAATCACTTTTCAACACTAGACTATCCCTGCTTGACCCCCACCGAAAACATGGAAATACATCTAATTATAGACGTGAGACACCACTGGAATGCCCTGACTTTGTGGTTTGATTTAGCTTTTTTTATACACTGTCTGCACCAAACAAGTACACCAAATTTATTTTGGTGGTGTTTTTTTGTTTTTGTTTTTAAATGTGAGTGAGTGAGTGAGTGAGTGAGTGAGGATACAGTTCTGTAGATAGATATAACTATGAGTCTGTAATAAAAAGCATCATGAGCACCATCACTCACAGCCAACTGTAATGGACCCTAATTAGTTCACCCTCTGTACAGTTCCATGCATGAAATGAAAGCACTCTCCTACGCACTTGGAGAAAGAGGGGGGCAAGTAGAGACAAAAAAAAAAAAGTGGGAGAGCAGCAGATAAAATGTGGTAGAGATACTGAAGATGGGGGCAGGAAACTAAGCTAAAGACACAGGGGAGGGATAGAGGAAGAAAGCCTGATTCCTGGAAAGGCTAGTACCCAGTCTTACCCTTTGTTCTCTTTGCACACAACATGGCTCTGTTTTCTTGACTCTTCTTTGTAGTGCAGGTCTAAAGCCATCTCTCCTCACTGCTGTCGTCCTATCTTCTTCACTTTACCTACCTTTCTCTACTCTGTCCATTTATCTCTTCCTGCCTCATTCAGTCCTCCCTTTCTTCTTCTGCTGTGTCCTTCTCTGTCAGCCTGTCTTCCTCCTCCTCTTCCTCCTTACTTTCTCTCTCCGCATGACACAAACAGAAAGGGAGGACTTTGCAGTCCCAGGGAGATCTATTGCTTCTTTAAACCCTGTCATGGTTTTCTCTGTTCCTCTCAATGGGCCTCTCGACACTGCCCCTCTTCCCCAGATGAGGGTGATAAGCCATCGGCTAAGTGTGCACATACGTGTGTGCGTCCAAGCATGCAGCATCTGAAGCTCTTTTGAATAGCTGAGACAAATTCACACCACTGCTCTCTCTTAAACATGAAGGGACAGAGGGGAAGACACAGGATTTACTTCAAGTCTGACTGACAGATCTCACTGACTCTGTAAGGTCTCACGGACAGGACAGGGAAGAATTCATTTGAACTAGCTGACCGGGGCTCCCGCCGTCACCTTGAAGATCCTTGGCGCATGCAGCGGCGTTACAGAGCAGTTTCTGAGGTAATGTGCTGCATGTGCATGTGTCTGTGCATGCGTGGATTTGAGAGTGTGTTAATGTGCGTAATAACAACATGATACTATTGATTTTTGTATAAAATAACTCCTGCACCAACAGTAGTGATTCAATTCTGAGCCCTCTTCTTCAAACATTGCTTATTTAATCCAGGCTGACATGATGAATTTAAATGAATAACTCAAAGTCAACTTACTAGCCTTTTCTGGAGTGGCTACTTGCCACTGAGAAGGAAAAAGCTAGAAAGCGGATCATGAGTTAAGACTGTGTTTGTGAAACTACTGTTTTTAAGGTCAAGGCTGAACTTTCACACTCAAATGAACTGATCCTGTTAGTTCTCATCCAGCTGACCTGGTTCCTCAAACACAATTAGAGAACTTATTTGTTCATCTTGGCTGAAGTTAATTTGAAATAAAGAAAACATGTAGAGAGTCGTAACCATCAGCAGTCCTGTGCTGATCATGATGATTGCACTCATGACTGGCTGCCGTGGCAGAATTGCTTTAGAAATTACATTATAAGTTGATTTAAATAATATTCTTACCTTAGACATATTCAATTAAATGAAACCCCCATAAAGCAGATTACAAGAACTCTTAAACCGCAGATTAAAGGGATAACACATTTCCAGCAACTTTCCAGTTCAAGAGTTGTGGAATCAATCTCACTTTAAATGAAAAAATCCTTTCAAAATGCTATAAATTAAATGCTAAAACAGAAAGTTTTTGCTGATTCATCTCTTTTGCAGATAGTACTGCAAACTAAATTTCTTTTTTTTTAAGTGTACTGATTTGATTTTATTGCCTTGCATCTTTTATCATGTATGCTCTATATTGTGAAAATTCAATTCCACCAAATAATCTGAATAAGCCTGCAGTTGCAGGTTTCATCTTAAAAGAAAAACTGCAGTTTATTACAACTTTGGTTTTATTTTCTTAGCTGTGATCATAAATTTGATCAGATATGAAAACATTGCTAAGTAATTTCTGAGATCTAGGAAATGCAGCAACATCACTAAAATAAGTCCAGTGGGAAAGTGGTCAGACAATTATACCAATATTAAATAATCTATCTATCTTTGTTTTCCTATATATTATGTTAAAGTGCATCCGGAGACATCTTCAGAGAACCAAAAAATCCAGGCTTGTGTCAAATTATCTAAACGAATCAAGTTAACTCAGTTATCCACATATGAACAAAAGGGCCCTGCACACTTGTGATGTATTTAAATTTCAGTGTGTGGGAATTAAGTGTTCAACTACAGATGTGTATATTTGCGTTTGCATATGTGTTCTCTCACCACTGGCTGTAGCTGTGTGCCAGGCATCATGGCATTAGCAAGCTGCATCTGCTGGGCCAGCATTGCCATGTTTTTCTGCTGGATGAGGTTGTTCCTTCCATTGATCTCCAGCTGGGTCTTTAGGTGAGGAGGAGGATGCAGGTACTTACAGTTCTCCCTGGAACAGCGGCCCTGTTGCGGTGAGAGAGGAGGAGGAGGAGATAAGGAGGACGAAATAGAAAAGAGGGAGGGATAAAGGTGGATAGAAACATGGAAAGAAGCGAATTAGTATAGTGCTTCCTAATGTAAAGAAGTAATGAGCCTTAACCCAAGTTGCTGCCCTCTCATTTAGCAGGCGCTGACCTAACATTCCTGACATCTGGGTTTGTCGTAAAGAAGACCGATCAGTTCTGCTTGCTTTTCCCCCTCTGTGACCTAAGCTGCATGCTCGCTACCTTCCCCTGTTTTCTCAAGGTCCCATCGAGAGACAAATTAGCTTCAAGAGCAAAGATAAAGAGGATTAGTTGTCTATCTGCCTCTGCTAACAGATTGGAATACACACAGCGAAACAGAGAGAGACATCACTGTCCCCATGATGATATGGATACTCTGCTCACTTTACACTTATTTTACGTGAACTTTTGAGTGTTCAATATGACTGCGATCAATGATTGTTTTTTTATTATCCATTAATCTGTGGATTCATTGAGTGGACAGGTTATATTTTGCACTGAGTGCATTGTTACACAAGTAATTTTACTTGAGTTCAATTTTCCAATACTCTTTCCATCCCTGATAAAATAGTGAAATAAATTAAATAAATGAAAATTTCCATTGTTTTTTTTTTTGTTGTTTTTTTAAAAATCGCTGCCAGTTACTGTCAATCAACTAATCAATTAATAGACCAGTTGTTTCAGCTTTCTTCTTCAACCTCTGCAGGGAACTGTCAGTCTGATTACATTTATAAATGTCTTCTTTTGTTGAGACAAATTACATTACAAGGAAAAGAGACTTAAGTTCAAAGGGAAAGGAACTTATCCCTTTGTTTAATAGTTGTTAAGAAAAATAGGAACAGGAAATGAAAAGGAAAGACAAAGAGGAGAGAAGCTCAGCGTTTTACCTGCCACCTGAACTGCTGCTGCACTCTTCCTCTAACCAAAGAGGAATTGTTTTGGCAATTTCAGTTAGGAAAGACCCACACTCTCCTCTGTCCTACTACCTTAGAAGCTACGCCACTTGATGCCGGATGTTTTACAAGGCCCAGTGAATCACTATTGATCTCTCCCAATTGAGATGAATGAGTTATGTGTCAATATTTTACATCATTTCGGAAAAGAACCGGATGGAGAACTGATCCAGGATCGATACAGGACTGGAGACTACTGTGACAATAAACATACACACATCATGGCACTCTATCTAATATTCTGCTTGTGTCTATAGACAGTGAGGTGTGTGTCTGGGTGCTCGGTGCTGAGGGTGATTATATTCATCCAGCAGCCGGCAGCCCAAGGGGAGAAGGAGGGAATGTAATTTACACTCTCATAATGCCTGCTCCACTGAACACTCCCCCGAATAGGTGTAATATCTTAGATTTTTACTCCCCCTTTCTCCTTCATTCCCTTCCTTTCACCTCAATCCCACATACATCCCGAGCCCCATGCTGATATTTGCTCTCCTTATCATGAATGCAGAGCAGTGTAGACACGGTGGTGCTGCTGTGATCTGTGTATGTGATCATGTTCATGTATGTGTGCAGAATGTGCAAAACGGAAGTAATACTCTCTCTCTCTCTCTGCCTTTGTCTGTTCCGTTCTTTCCTCTTCTCTCGCCTCAATCTTCCCCCATCAAAATGCATCCTCTGGCCATCTCCTCCCATTACTCCTTTATATAAATCTACTTCCAAGGGATGCGGAGACCAACCCTGCGACACCTCCACAGTACCACCTCCCATGGGGAATTAAAGGTTGGCTGTCATGCTACTGCTTATCTCAGTGAGATTACCTGCTGCCCACTGTGGCCCACTATGACACCTGCTTTCACAACCTAACACATACACTCTTCCACTTTCCCTCTCTTCCTCCCACCTCTCTTCTCTCTCCTCCTTTCGTCTCCTCATCTCGCTCTATCTCTCCATCGCTCCCTTTTATTTCCTCATGCAGGTCGTTCTGCCTAGCTACAGCGGGAGAGGCACTTTGCATTGGAGAGCAGCAGAGTGTCAAGAGTTCTTCCAGCATTTTCATTGGCTGAGAGCTGAGAGGACTCGTATTCCCAGTCTGCCAATTGGCCTAGAGGCACGCATTAACAGTGCTCCTAGTCTGGCTCATCCCTGTATGGCTGTGACTATTGATCAGCACTAATTGGTTAATGTCTTTTGATTTTCAGGGCACATTCCCTCTGGGTGACTAGATACGAGCTAGTCAACTCCAGCCGTGTGTGTGTGTGTGTGTGTGTGTGTGTGCATGTGATTAACTGTGACAATACAGCATAAAATCCCCCAAACATTCTTTGAATACATAGATTTTTAGTGGTCACATTAAACAGATTTTAAACACTTTACCGTTTTACTATATATACTGGGAATAATTATAATAATAAACTACAATAAATAAATTGCAAAATAATCTGACATTTTGTGAATAAAGCCAAAGAACTGGTAGAAAAAGTCATTGTAATTGTTATATGAGTTGTTACATTGACATTTTTAGTAAATAGGTGGGAGCAGCCTGTGAGCTTTTCTGTACCAAATGTGGGATGATGACTACAAGGTTTCACCATTTTCTCAAAATATTATGTCTTCAATCTCAAATATGTGTCTTTCTTCTCATACAATTAGGATTTTATTAACAAAACTTTCACAGACCTTTCTTGTATTTGTATTGGTGTCCCTAAAATTCCATTATCATGCAATGTCACTTTAAAAATAAAACACGGTCCAAGTTGAAGAGTTTTGAACTAATAGACACATTGAAAAGTTATAACAAGAGTTTTAATTCCATCATTTGAAAAACCTTCTACATTCTCTGACGAATCCATGATAAGCATCTAACTAAAGAAAATCTCAAAACAAGATTTTTTTTGCCTTGAAATCTTTACTTTCAGCAAAGCTGCAGGGAAATTAAAGAAGACTTGGAGAAAAGTAAAGACAACATTGTGATGGATCAAAAAGGCTTTGTTGGGGAATGTTTTTCCTATGATGGTTATGTTCCTCTAATCTCCTAAAGGGCAAGGTCAGTGGCTTTAATGTGATTATCTGGCTGCTCAATCCGTTATAGTTGTACAATAATACAGTATTAAATTTTTCTCCAGAATCACTTATGATGCAGTGCAACCTGATCTGGATAACATTCTATGTCTATCATCACTATTATTATGTGTTTGAAAGAAACATCGTAGAGTATTTTGCTGGAGACAGACATGTGAAAACATTATGTGGATAAAGTATTAATATTAGGATAAAGGTTTAATCAGAATGATTAGTCGTGTAGTAGTGAGAATTCCTCTCTGCGTTTTATCAGTTGCATTCAGAAAGGTCAGTATCTTGACCCACACCTACCCCTCTGTTTTTTCACCAGTAGAGTCATTATCTGTTGCTGCGTTGTTGTTGTCTGAACAGTTCAGTGCTGTGTGAGCCTGAAGTCCCTGTTGATCACTGCCTGTGATGCTAATGTCCTGGCTTCTCTCCTGCCTCTTTTCACTGCTATTTTCCCTGCTGTCTAAACAACGTCAGTACAGGTTAATGGTGAGCGTGTCTGAGCCAAAGCAGTTCTCCCTGTGGCTAGAGTGGTGTGACTACCAGACTTCACTCAAGTTGACTCTGTTCCACCTTCACCTGTCTGCCTGTCCTCCACTGAGACGCTAATATGCTAACAGACTACCTGCATCTGTCTCTCACACACTCTCGATTGCTCTATCCCCCTCCTTGTCTCTTCTCTGTCTGCCTCTCCCCCTCCCGCCCTACCTCTCAGCTGATTGTCTGAGCCAGTCTGTTCTCCCACAAAGAATTCACACCTAACAAATCATATTCTTTCTCGATTCAAAGCTACAAAACATCTTTTAACATGTCAGGTTGAGGTTTTGGTAAACAGCCTCCACATCTCATCACCAAACATAGATTCTGAAACTTGAACCAATTTGCAGAGGTCTGGCTGTGCCAATGCACGGTTTCACTTTCCTTTTAATTGGCAAGCCATTAAAATAAAGTGAACCAGCTGTCATAGTCCCATTCTTAAGTGTATGTGTGTGCATGTAGGAGCAGGGTAATGGAGCATTCTGCTCTTATAAATCACCTTGGCCTCATTACACTAGGTAACTTTTTGCCGTATTTCAGCCCCTGGAATCACACTCACATGCAAACAGATGTATAGACAAATGTGCAAGGGCACACACACACACACACACACACACACACACACACACACACACACGCAAACATTTTGGGATGGCAGAATGTTATTGATGTTTATTAATCAGTACAATGCAAATAACAAAGCAAAATTAATTCCTATGTATATATGCAGGTACACATGCAGACAAACACACACATACATAGTGTATGCATGTCCTACCCTTGAGTTACTTCAATTACAACATTTCCACTGCAGTTTCAGGTACGCGTGTGGCTGGTTCTGGCCTCAGCAACAACATGGTTTTAATCAGCATCACGTAATCCTCTGTGACAAGGTTACATCAATGAGGCCGTCCACAAAAACAACAGTGAGTCAGGACAGTTTGCACTAAATTGTTTTTTTAACCCTCCAATCCCCAACTTCTGGATCCACCATACTTTTAAAGCTGCTCTAATCAAAATGTTTACATCAACAATTGATGGAATGATCATGCATAATGTGAACGAGGTCAATCGAACTGACAAACCCACAGTCCCACCTACGGTTTCCCTTAGCTCTACAGAGGATTTCAGCGTCTTTCTGAACCACAGTTCAGTCTCACTGCTCTCATCAGCCTTGTACCCAGCTGTAGCAAGCAGGTGTTTTCATCAAAAAAACAAATAAACCAAGTGGACACTAACTGCTCAGTCCCAAACATAACACAGACAGAAAATAGCAACTAGCAGGTGAACACAGTGAAGCATTTGCAGCTAAAGAGTTGGTGGATACTGAAACAAAATATTAGACTTACACTCATTAGGTGACCAGAAACATAACTCCAAATGAACTCTAACGTTGCTCTGT